GACTGGGCCTGATCATCTGGTTGTCCTGTATATTTTTTTTCCACCATGCAAAAACCATACCTTTTTTCTGTTTTCGCATCATGGTTTACTGCTTGAGGAGGTTCTCTAAGCAGAGATTTCAGTGAACTGAATTGCTGAGTAGTACTCTCATCAAGATTTAGGAAAGCAGGCACAGCGAGGGAATCAAGTTCCACAAGGCTATTACCATGAGGAGCTGCAAAAAAATTCTCATACTGTAGTATGATCACACTACTTAGAGTGTGAGAAACCATTTTCAAGAGACAGAAGCATGCCAAAAGGTTTTTTGAGAATAACTGCTCTTGTTGCTGTGTAAGCATCAGTTTTAAAGTTTGTAATGTCAGCTTGGCCACATGCCCAGTCAGATTGGCTCTTGAATGCCAGTACAAGACAGTTAAACACTGCTGAAAATACTTTAGCACACAATGCATCCAGTGAGTATTCTTCACAGACTTGTTTGAAGATGCGTCCTGGTTTAGCAAAGAACATTTCACAAACTGAAGTATGTTGAAAAAATGGATAATGCAGTTCACTGTATAATTCAGCAATGTATCTTTCTCTTCCATATTTTTTGAAATCCCAATGTGCCATGCAGCAAGGAGATTTTTCTGAATGGAATATAGTTCCACTGATAATTTATCTTTCTCTTCAGAACTGTCTTTTGCATGGATAGTATCAAACATTGATGCAAACTCTAAGTGGCCTTGATCAGCTTTACCAACAAATGAATGGACTCTTTGGCTATAGAAGTTGGAAGGGCTACTGCAAAACTGCTTTTCATCATCTGATTCTTCTTCATAATCCTAAATCAGACAAAAAAAACCCCCAAAACATCAACAGTTTAATTCAAGTCTATTGAGAGCATAGTCTGAAAGAATCACCATGTAGTCTCACAAAAGAAATCTTTATGCTTAATTAACTTGCTTAATTGCTAATAAGTTTAATTCATAGCAGTTTCATCTAAATCTCAAACTTTCTGCAGACAGAAATTGAATCACCTGACAACAACAACAACAAAATTACACGGTAAACATGGCAGTAGTTTTTATACCAGAAAGTAAAATCCTGTCCTTTATTAAGCCCAGAGTATGAGGAAAAGTTTTTGCCAGATAGCTGTAAGACATATTTTCTGCCCAACAAAAGCACACGCGCGCGCGCGCACACACACACACACACACACACACAAACCCAACGAAAAACCAAGAACAAATGAAAACCCAAAAGCATGAAACAGCATTAAGAAAGGCTGCACAGTAATTTTGATCACAGAGCCATTCCTCCAAAAGACATGTACAAATTTTGGAATTGAAGAATCCTCTCAAATTGAGGGTAAATTTCTTATTTACTAAGAATAATAATATTGAACTTCCTATTAATATACTTTACAGCTCATGTATATTTAGTAATGTTACATTATAAATTGAAGCTAATGTATTAAACTACAAAAAACTGACATATATGTAGATTAGCACGTATTTTTCAAAAAGTTAATGCACTGCTGAAAGAAATGTTTGAAAATAAAAATCAAGTATCAGCTGTGAAAAATAACCATATTCCTCGCACCTATAAAGAAAATGAGAATTTAACCAAATATTGAATTACTTTAAATATATCTAGTAAGAGCAAATATGCCTATATTATTTGAAAAAAAAAATTAAATTTACATTTAGAATACCTTAAAATTAAATAATTTGCATAATTGTAAGTGGAAAAAATGCCATTAAGTACCAGTAAATCCATGGTTTTCTCACTCATTTCTGTTGTGTCCTCTTCCAGGAATTTTGGAATGGTGGAAAAGATGGAACTTTGGTTTCGAGCATGTTTTAAAAGACTAGCTTTTAAAGACATCAGTGATCGCAAACACAGAGGTCTCCCTTTAGACTAAAAGGAATAACAATAATGCAAAACATATTACCACTCTCTAGCAAGATCAAGAAGGCAATTTCTAAACAAAACCAGGAAATTGGTCCCTTCTATAAAAAGCTGCAGATTAAAAGTCCCTGACAGAAAGGAAGAACAGGTCAGCAAGCATCTTTTGCACAGAAACAAACTATCATTGGACCATACCTCAGGAATGCAGAATTTTCTCAGCAGCAGACAACTTTACTTTGCTTCACGCTGAAAGAATCTGCTTTCTCGATCCCTGAAATGGTCCCACAAGTTTTCCAGTATGTAGGACTTTCTTGCATTCTTACTAGTAACATATCTCTTTAAATCCTCAAATCCTTGCCTGGTCTTCCAGATTATGCATAAATGCCATTATAGCTCACTTCTCCAAAAATCCCAAATACAAAGTGAATTAGAAGTTGTATTCCATCAGCAAACACAAAGATTCTGAACCTACTACCTATTGTATCTTATGTAGTTGGGAACAGTTGCAGGACCTCTTCCTTCAAAGGTTTCCTTTCTCCCAAACTTGACTCAATTTAGAAGCGACAGAAAAATAAAGCTTGTTTAAAGCATTTTTGTTTAATTGACAACCTCAATCGAGGACCTAGTGGACACATGCACACAGCACCATTGGGACTGTTGCTGACTGCTCTAAAACAGCAGCAGCCTAAGACAGAGGTTTTACAGAATCCTTTCTGCATCATTCAGAAAGGATGAGTTGGTCAGAGTAGCATAATACCTGTCAACGCTCTGAACCAACTCTACAGATATAGAAGTCCCAATTTATTTTACAGTTCCAGAAATAGTATATAGTGACAGTTAAGACTGTCCCCTGCACTACATTTTACTGAAATGTCACCCAGACATCAAAAGGAATAGAAAAATGTGTATTCCTTGTTTTCCAGAACAACATTACTCTCAAAACAACTTTGTAATTCTAAGGAATTTATACAAATATCACAGTAAAATAAATTGAGGTACTCAGATTAAAGTGAAGTTTTTTACTTAAAGCCTACAAAATAATTCATAACCCTACCCTGGATTTCAGCAAATTCCGACGGACATTTTCAAGCCGCTGGGTTGAATCAAGCAAAAGAGATCTTATAAATCCTGATGATGAAAGGTTGTTAGGAAATCTAAGCACTGTTATCATGTATCCATCAGAGACAATGAGGTAGGGTAATCTTGAATGTGAAGCAACAGAGAATCTCTGTCTCATAAGGTCACTTTCAGAAGCTGAAGAGCCCAGAGACTGACTGGAGTCTTGACAAAAAGAGTGCCGCTGTCTAAAATAAAATACATCAAAAAATAAGAAGCAACCATCATATGTAATAATCATGAACAGAATGCAGAAGAAATAACTTGTGAACATTTAATACCACTCACAATACTGTCCCAATAGGTCCACTCAGAATTCTAAGTAAATGTCTAAATTTTTACAGGATGAGCACTCTGGATAATAACATTTATACTTGCAAGATGCCAGTATTTTGCTGCAGTTCCAACTTTTTTTAACTTAAAGAAAAATAAAGCCAGCTTTCAATATTCTCTTATTTCATTAATTAGTATTATATGTACTTTTTCACAATTTTACTTTAAAGTTATGTATCACACATTCTTATCTAGGTTTTACGGTGTATGTTAAGTGCTTGAAGATGTAATTCTAAGTAGCTTCTAATAAACAAAAAAAATCCCTCAAGATCTGAATCTTAGTGTTTCTGAATCAGTTCAGACATTCAGCAGAAATATTTTATATCAACACACAAGTCTTCTCTTACAAAAGAGGTCTTACAAAGTCTTCTCTTATAAAGAAATAACAACTTAGTGAGTTCCAGAAATCTGTGTTGTGCATGTATTCTAATATTAGCCCTATAATACTTTGAAATAATGTGTAAAATTACTGTTTTTACTTGTTATTTCTTAACAGTCCAAAAATTAGTAGATTATTTGGAAACAAAGTAGCTGTATATAATAAATAACCATAAATAACCAATAAATAACCATAATTAGAGTATTTTGATATATTTTAGTATCTGATTTTACAACCAGATAGTGTAATAAAGTATTAAAATACTTTGAATATTTTCATGAGATGTTATAGTTCCACACTATTTGGCTTTAGTCACTCAGAATTAACAGGGTCTTTTTTTTTTAAATTAAAGTTTAGATTCCATTTTGTTTTTCTCTAGTTATTCAGACATTGTTACTTTTTATAACTTTCAATTTATGCTAAAAAGTGTTATCTGAGATCCTTCTATACTCCCATGCACCCAGCAGCATAATTTCAAAATTTAGATCTGGAGTACCCCAAAAAACCAAGCTAACTAGTTTTTGTCCATGCAAGCACATTTACAAGATGTGATATGAAAATGTGATATAAAATTCTATAGGTAAAATTAAATAGTGAGCACAGAAATACCACTGGATTAAAATAAATTTGCACTTTTAGTACTTGTGTAAGTTTAATTTCTTCTTACATCATAAAACATGCTATTTTTAATTATTACTAAATTCAAACACTTTAAAAAAACCAAAAATCACTTAACGTATACTTACATTGTCACAATGCCAATTTTCATCGTGACAAACCATTATAAGAAATAGAAGAGAACTATGAATGAGAAACAGATATTGAAAAGACACATGAAAAGCAAGAGAGTGAATTTGAAAGATGAAGTTTATGTAAAACTGTAAAAAGTATGTTAGGAAGCACGATATGATCATAACACAAAAACATATAAACATTTTAAAACTTTTACCTGCATGATATTAGTGGATGAAATGGAATAAACTCTGCTGGTCCAAATTCTACAGAGCAGCCAGAAGTAATCAAGGTGAGCAATTCACCCATACATGTCAATAAAATCAAAGATCCACGTTTTAACATGCAAGCCAAGAAAAGGCTATCAGGAGTCCAACTCATATCACCAACCCAGTAAGATCTAAATTGGACAGGAAAAAATATTTTTCTCTGTCAAATTTCTGTATCAAAAGGCTAGGATAGCTGAAAAAACCCCAAGAAAACAAAAAACCCCTCAACACAACACAAAACCAGAAATCCACAACAGCGGCAGAATCAACATCAATTACTGACCTGATAAACTTGGATGGAACCATGCTATTCTTGCTACTACAACCTTTAAGGCTACCCGAAACAGTTATAAAATTCAATGTGTTTAAAAACAAAATCTGAGTTGCCTAGAAAGAAAAAAAGTAAAGAAAATGGAAGTGTTTGTATCAAAATGTCATTATTGTAAAAACCAATTTCTATTAGCAAGTTATGTGTTACATTTGATGTACTGGAAACATGGTAATATATGAAAGTGACATTGCACTTCAATATTTATTACTATTTATTTATTAATTTCTATACCTATTTCTACACTTGAAAAATAATTAAAGGTTATTATATATTCAATATATAGTTTGATATTCTTTTTAACATAAGTTTTTCTAAAACCCATAAGATAATCTAAGATTGCTCTTCTCCAGTCTTGTAGGTGAATAACAACTGGAGCTTTGAAGAACTGCATCATCCTGTTCTGGTACACTGAATAAGCTGTCATACTGCCATACTCCCTGTCATCATTAGCACTGAAAACTACATTAAGATTTGGTCTCCAAGTTGTTAGAAGGAATAACATTATGAAGTCAGAACATAACCTCCAATACATGTTAGGCCAAGGCCTTATTAAGAATCATGTACAATCTTTGCAGATGCAATGCAGTAACTGAAATTAATTTCTTTACTATTGTATTTCTTGGAGATTAGACATGACAGAGGAGCTTATGTGGATTTCTTAACTGAACAACAGCATTCAAAAAACTATAAGTTGTGGCAGAATTTTTTAGCTATGGATATCAATGTGAACATAATCACAAGTATCAATAAGAATGCTGAGAAATCACTCCTAAAAATGTGCTATTAAATTCTTGTTACGACTTCATTCAAACTAAACCATTAGCTTAAATGACATACTGTCTATCATTCATACCTTTGGATCAGTTTGATTAACAGCTACTGCAAGTATAAGTCCATCTCTTGCAAACGCACATAGCAAAGCTCCTCTTGACTTTACAGTCACACATGGAGGAACCAAATTAACAAGAGAACAAGTCTGCTGTATCCAGTGGATCTGATATGGCACAGAACTGAATACCAAAAAGAAGACAACAAAACCAAGAGGTTACTCAGTTATGCTAAATGGGATGATTCAGACATAGTAAAAACCATGCAAGACTACAACACATAAAGCATGAACAATAAAAAAAGTAATCTATTTTTCTTCAAAAATCTTACAAATGAAAAATATTTTGTATTTACACAAGTTTAAAGCTTACATCTGAGCACTGAGAATTGATTTTATGGGACAGGAATTTGGGCTATATGCATAGAACATACAAATAAATATAGATGCATACCATATAATTAAGGCACTTGCATTCCAGCAAGTCTGAGGAACAGCTTCCTCAGACAATGTAACGTTATCCAACACAGGAATACAGAATTAAAAAATTAAAATCAACAGCATGCTGCTCTGAACAAAGAAGTTGTGGATGCCCCCTCCCTGGAAGTGTTCAAGGCCAGGCTGGATGGGGCTTTGGGCAACCTGGTCTAGTGGAGGGTGTCCCTGCCCATGGCAGGGGGGATGGAACTAGATGATCTTTGAGGTCCCTTCCAACCCAAGCCATTCTATGATCCTAAAAAGATTCAAAACATGATAGAAAACATAAGAAAGATTCCATTTGGAAGCATGCCACCTAACAGACAAAAAATTAAACAGTAGTAAGCAATGAAATTGAGCCATAGTTGGCATAAAGAAATTATGAGTAACATGGCTGAGAAACGTGGTTACAATTTCAGGCTGCAAGTACTATGGTGTATATATATGCACTTCTACGCAGGGAATGTTATGCTCTGTTTAATTTTTTTTACCAGAAAGGCATTAGCATGCTACTGACAAACTGAGTGAAGAGTGATGCCACTTAGCAGGGCAAGAAGGACATAATTACTAAAGTTAGTAACAAAAGGGCATCATTTAATAAGAGCAGGTGTACCACATAAAGCATAGAGCAAAATTTTAGCAAGTTACTCAAGTTATAACTGCAGAGGACATATCCATTTAAACTTGTACATATGTGTATCCCACTTAGGAAGAAGAATGGACTATACATGTGCTCATGATTATTATTCAATTGCATTTTTAAGTGGCTGTATCATTGTAACTATTTCACTACACAGTCCCAGCCCAGACAGAGAAATGCACACTCTCATATAGTCCAGGCATAAGAGATGAAAAAGGGTACAGAAAACAAGTAAAATATACAAATATACACAACAAAGAAGAGAAAGAGGTATTGAGGGCATTCATGGCTGCACAGTATGCATTATTAATAAAGAAAAACAAGAACAGGAAACTCCCTCAGCATGATGTAAAAAACTCCCTAACACACATGCGTGTGCAGGAATGTGTATGTATACATAGCCACTCACATACAGTGATAAATACACTTAGTTTTATTTAAGTGTAAGTTAATAATGAAGTATGGAATACATACATAAATGCTATTACATCAACCACATTTAAATACTTGAAAATGACCATAGATGCCCATATCTGGATTATATATATGCATATATAATGTGGCACCCTATGTACATACATATGCAAACATAAGTAGGTACTTGTTATCATAGGCTAATTGGACATCAATATGAATGTGTTCGATTGCAGCTCTGAAGCTCAGCTCTAAAGCACTTCATAATAAAAATCTTCCTCTTGAGCTAATGTAACTTCAAATACTTTTGAACTTACCTAACATATTTAAAGGTATTTTCATGCCATCGAAGAATCAAAAATGTGAGCACCAAACATTCTCCAGAGTAAAACACAAAACAGCACAAACAGCAATCACCCAGTATCTGTGGAAAAAAACCAAACCCACAACCAAAAGTAGAACAAACTCAAAAACCTGGTTATGCACTATTTTCATTTTTAGATCAATAGTTATTGCAATTCAAATTATGTAACATAACACTGTCATTCAGAAAAACAATGGCTGGCAAGAATATTACTTTGAGTATAAGAGTATAAACTTTGGCCTGATCCAGTATGGTTTTTCTTATGTTGTCATTAAATCTAATATGAACTGAACAATTAAGCCTACACACAACACCAAAGAGACATCGCTCTCACAATTCACTGTAGCTTCTGTGGCTCTAATTTGTGTAAGAGATTAAATGACTGCTTTAGGGCTTGTTTTTTACCTCATTTTGTATGAAAGCAGCATGCACTCCAATTTCTTTTTCTTCAGTAGAAGGCAGCATGACTGATTCATCAGGCAAAATTTGCGTCCAACGTCCGGAAGACGAATTTTTATAAGAGGATATATTTTCATGTTCTGTGCTCTCCCACAAAAAGACACATGCTGTAGGAGTAGTTAATAGTGCCTTTCTGCCATCTCCAGATACATACAAGTACAATTTCATTAAACACTCTGGGGGAAAAAAAAGCAAGCAATAAAGACAAAAATGTGCTAGAATAGTTTCTGCTCCTCTGTCAGATTTCAAAAGAAAAGAGAAAGGAAGTTTCTTTTATTCTCTATCACAAGAAATACAAGCTGCCACCTTAAGTGTCTTTCATTTCCAGTTTCATCACTGATAGCAGACCTTGAGCAGCAGTAATATCAGATGGTAAGCCCTTTTTTATGCATTTTATGAATTGTCTTTCCCACAATCATTAGAGTTGCTTCCTGAGATCATCTTTCTTGAAATCCGTCTTTCATGAAAACTATATAATAAAGGTGTAAGTACTCTACTATCCGTTACCTTCAGGTCCTAAATGCACTACTGATCTTCCCTGAAGCGACAGAATTGCTTGTACAGTACTTCATATTACAACCTGCTATCAGTGAGATTATTCAATACATGACAATATCTGACACTTAAGTTTGCAAATATGTGCCTTTACATTATTGTCTCCAGTTAGCATTTGACATAAAAACCTACCTACAGAACAAACTTCAAATTATGTGTATAGGGTTTACATCAGATGTATGTCTGTTCTAAGATACTGATAACCTAGTAGGGAATGTTTTATCTACAGTTAAAAAATAACCATTAAAAATATTTACTGTATTTAAAAATTACTTACTATTTATAGGACATTACTAAATACAAAAAATGTACCATTCAAGTGGACAAAAAGGACACTTGTCAAAGCTCAGCTGGCACACAAATTACACAAATGCAAAACAATGTGAAAGTATAGCTTTTACTTGTGCAATAACGCTTAGCAAATGGAAAACCACTTCCGCTCTATTCCATTTGTCAAGACTAATTGAAAAAAACCCACCTTGTGCTGCTGCAACTATGTTCCTAGACTCTTTGATTGCTGGCACAATTTTCAAGCAGTCCTGATCTTTATTCCAAAGAAATAGCTCTCCTGTTGTAAGTACTCCTGCCAACCAAGCACCTGTACTCATCGAGGGAGAGATGTTTTGATGGATATTATTGTGACATACTTAAAATTACTTCCCTTTCATCCTAGCCACAGTTCTAAAGTTGACAGTGAACTGGTAGACCCTTTAGATATTCTGCCTTTCTAAACTGTTACAACTACAAATAAAATAACATGAGTTCATAATACATAAGATATTATACTTAACCATTTCTTGATGTTGTTAAAACAACAACATTTTTCAACAATGACTGCAGCCGAGGGATTTTCTTTTTTGTCTTCCCTGATGCCAGGTTAATTTCATTTATACGTTTATCATCTAGAAGAAAAATAGCCTCTTTTTCCTGTTAAAAGAAAAAACAGCATTTCATTCTTAAAACGTCATTTTCTATGTAAGCCTGCCAAATAACGCATAGATAAAAAATGTTAGGGAAAAATAATTTTTTTAAAAAAGAAAAGATGTTACAGCTGCAATTACCATATTATCTTCATTCTTTGGCATATTTGCTTTACAGTACAACATCATAGCTAGCATCAACCTACTCTGATGATGAATTTGGTTCACAGGTTTTAAACTAACAAACTAATTTTACAATTGTTATTAGTAAGTTCTTTGAAGTACCTTAACTACCAACAAATGACAACACAACAACAAATTAGACACTAGGTGTCTTGTAGTGTTTAATTTAGTGACATTTTTGCCAGTGATTTCAATAGAAGAAGGAATTGGCCTTAAATGGTTACCTACTTAAACTCAAATTATGTATTAGAAAAGAAGGAAAAAAAATTAGGTTCATTTTATTAAAAAAGCTTAAGACAGCATATCTGCCAACACATGCAAGATGGAATAGGGAAAAAAATTCATTCACAATTTCCAACAACATACTGTGAAGAAGGTTATGAAAAACTAGAACCATCAAAATAACAATCTCATATAAGCAACAAGGTTTTTGGGGAAAAAACCTAAATCAACAACAGAGTCCTCACTGTTTATATGAGAAATTTTGCATGTCCAGAGTCAAGTCAGTAAGACAGAAAAACAAACCATTTATTTCAGTAACTCCTAGGTGGGGTACACTTAAATAACTTCCTGAGGCTTTTTTAAACATACCCTCCCTCGTAAGCAGAAGTGCAAAATATAATTAAAAAAATCTATTCTTTGCAGAATTTTATCTAAATAAAAGTTTATTACATTTACCTGTCCAACCCATGAAATGCGAGGCCATGGTTTTCTTTGCTTGATACTCGTAGAGATGAGAACATCTAGCTTAATCTCCATTCTTATTAAACCTCTATGTAACCATTATAAATAAAAGCAAATAGTGGCTTTTTCACATATCTATAAAGAATCTGAAGAGAGAAAAATTTGGGGGGTGGGATTAGAAGATGGGAATCTAGACAGAAACTCTTAACTGTTGCAGCTTTCTGCTAAACACAAATAGAACTGATGCTTACCTGTATTTCCAAACTAAAACGGCTATATTCATTCACGTAGCTCATGAGCTACTTGCAGTTCAGCCGTGCAGATTACATGCTTGCTCCAGAAGGAGTTAAGAGAAAGGAGCCACAAGACAAAGTATCTTGCTAAAAGCTCTAACAAGAACGCAGAAAGCATGGAAAACATATCGCAGCCTCCTAACCGCAGATCAGAAACTCAAGCAAAATATCATCTGGGCTCCTTCGGCACGGCTGCGTTTCAGACCCTAAACCACGCAGAGGGAAGGGGGCAGGAGGACATCCTCGCCTCGGAGACACCTCAGGCCGCGGGGTGACGGAACGTGCGACACCCTGCCACCGAAGGGGACCAGCGCCGGACCCCAAGGTGCTGCCTCACGTTTCGGGGGATTTACGCGAGGGGCGGCACCGCCCCCGAGGCGAATCACAGCATGGGCAAGCCGCTTCCCTCTGCGTGGGTAGACCCCCGCCGCGACGAGTCAGGGCAAAGACGGTCCCTCAGGCTAACTCCGGCCCTCAGGACACAAAGGGACACGGTGCATGCCCAAATCGATGCTCACCACAATCAGCAGAGGCAGGGCGCTGATGGGCCGCTGTGTCACCCAGGACCCGGACCCGGACCCGGACCCACCCCCGCCGCGACGAGTCAGGGCAAAGACGGTCCCTCAGGCTAACTCCGGCCCTCAGGACACAAAGGGACACGGTGCATGCCCAAATCGATGCTCACCACAATCAGCAGAGGCAGGGCGCTGATGGGCCGCTGTGTCACCCAGGACCCGGACCCGGACCCGGACCC